GTTTTCCTTTGTTTTACACTGTGTTTAGCCAATTTTGGAACTCTCATATACTTTTGAGCCCCCCATGCCCCTCCCAAAATTAAGCCCTGGATCCGCCACTGCATTCATATATATTTTTATGCCCGATGTGTTGGTGAAATCTGAATTTACTAATTCTACTTACTATTTATTTACAATTACAAAAAAAGTAAGTAAGATAGGTAAATTATTATTTGCACCAACACGTTGAACATATAAATATCAACATTTAAAAAAAAATGTAAATCCTTAGTATGATTTTTCCAAAAATAGTACCACTATTATATCATGCATTAATGTATCAATAATATTCTATTCTTTGGTAATATTGAAATTTATACATTATTGTAGGCATGTAACCTATTATTTAAACTGTTTTATAAATTATACTTTATAGGTATTCAATAGTATTAGGTATATAATAAACAATTTGATTTGTAGGTTACAGTATAAATAGAAAATTAATTTCAATATAAAACACCACATTAAAAAAAAAGATAGGTATATTCTGATTTAATCAACACGTTGAGCATAAAACTACTAAAATACTAAAAATTCCGAAAATTGCTTCGGAAGTAAAGAGCTATAATATTTGTTCGTATACTGCATACTAATTATTATAATTATTAATTACTAATTATTTAAAGAACCGACCTTCTTAGCGCTTCCGGTGAACGTTTTTCGCATTAAATGCCGTCAAATTACTACTCACTTTCATGTCTCATCACATCTCAATCTACATCATGCTATAATAAGATTATAAGCACTCGTTATCACCGCGGTATCGCTTGTGGTTCGCTTAAAGTTGGACAACATAAAATCATCGTGCACTGTACATCGAGCACTCAATGTTTACATAATATTCATTATATAAAACTGTATTATAATATTTTTTTAAAAACTTTGTTATTTTGTAAGAAAACTTGAGCCCGCAGGAGGGGCAGCTGCCCACCCTGCCCCTCCCGTGCGCACGCCTATGCTTTCTGTGTTTGTAGTAGTGGTCCAAAATTTCTGAACACTTAAGCCTTAAGGTAGAAAATGATCTATGCAACTGCGTGCTCATATTTTAGACACAACATAAATACAATAAAAGTTTTTTGCATCTAAACATTTTGTTTTTTTTTCATTTGCTTTTAAAAAATGATTGGATAGTGCTATTAAACAAAAGCACACTGTTGCACAGATAAAGTTCTTCTTTACATGTTATGAACATTTTGAAGTTCTACAACATATATGGTATGAGAAAAGTTTTCCCGAGCAAAACAGTTTTTGCTATGTTGTACATTTGTAAGACAGAGACAACACATACCTACGAGTGTCATATCCTCTTAATAATTTAAAAATATAAACTAAATTTTGAATACTGATAATGGGCTCATTATAAATTATTAAAATGGTAAATTGCATGTGAGGCTGTGCCCATAGACCATCTTTCAAAATTAATAATTGAGACCTGTGATTTTTGTTTGTGATTGCCTAGATAATAATTTTGGGTCTGGTACGAAACATCGACAGTCAATATATCGATAAGTTAAAATTATCGAAAAAAAAGATGAAATTTTATGGTTTAACGTTGAGATAAAGTGAACGGTATTGTTTTGGATACTGAATACTCTGTACCTAATAGCTTTGTATACACAGATAACGATAAAATAAATAGTAATTCCCGTGTGTGAGAGATATGAAATCATTTCTATTTAGATTGAGTACGGACGAGTATGTAGTGCTGTTAATATCAAAAAATCAGTCAGGATTTTAAAACGGGTCAGCAAGCTGAATTTGTATAACAATATATCAGTATTTATTAAATAATTATTTTGAAATGTATTATAATTTTATCTTGAGTACCTACCTATTTCATGAATTACAAAAATATGTAAACATCGTCTTGAAAAGTTGAAACACTAGCTTTTTAATATAACCGTTAACTGTTTTTATATTAATTTATGAAGAACTTAAATAAAATTAAAATATAATATTTTGTTAGGCATATAGTATACCCATATAAGTGACAGTTATCGGAAAAAATGTTATCTACTATGTTTACCGTATATAGTATAGTTATCCAAACTCATAGGTACGAATTCAGGACGATGCACAAAATTGAGTGCGAGTCATATTTTTTTTGAGGTCTTATAGTTACCACCGTTGTCGACCGAAATATACGTAATACCTAATCCTTCATAATGTTTTATCATAATGAGATAGGTAATTGATGATAAACGAATAATATATTAAACCTAATCATATTAATAATAATTTTTTTTTTAAGTTTTTAAAGTATCAATAATATGACATTATAGTTTTATTTTATTTAATTAATTATTTAATTTAACTTTTCAACATATTGACATATTATTGTCATAAATTTTATATTTATATCTTATAATATATTTTAGATTCTGAGTGGAACGATGAATGTATTGATTTTACAATGATGTGCATTTTTTTTTTTGTGTCTGTCATCACCTTTTGGACAGTAAAAGTGCTTGGATTTTCTTCAACAGTATCTTTTCTGATAGGAAAGTGAATGTAGTTGGTACTTTGGGGGGTTAAAAGTAAAAAATTCTTACTAGTTTTCAAAAGCGCCGTGAAATATAAAAGAAAAATGGTAATTTTTACGCATAATCTGTTTTCGAGAAAATCGATTTTGGTTTTTGGTGTAACTTTAAAACAAATGACCGTACATGAAATTTTCACTTTTTGTTTATATTTAAATTTTCTATACACGATAACATTTTCAAAATATTTTGATTTATTTTGAACTGATTAGGGACATTTTCAGTTTACAATTTTATTAGTTTTTTTTTTATGAATATCAATTAAAATTTATTTGTTGAGTAAAAATACTTGAAAATTTAATACAAGGCTCCTAGTATATTGTTTCAAAGGCAGATGAAAAATATTAAAAATCCGTAGTCACAATTTTTTTTATAACCATTTAAAGTTCATAAATTGACAAAATATGGAAAAATAAAATTATTTTGAGTTAAGAATTCGTACAAATTTTTCTTTTTAAATTTAAGATTTTAAAATGTAATACAAGATTCCTTATAAGATTATCTACCTTTATCAAAAAAAAAAAATGTCTATAAGAAAGTCAAATTAAATTTTTGAGCATTTGAAATTAAAATTTTTACAACATTGGATATTCACTCGATTTCTCATGTAGCGATTTTCATATTTTGTTGTAATTCAAAAACGAATAACTGTAGATACATGAAAATTTCACTGAATGTTATTTTATCAATTCTTATACTTGATAACATTTTCAAAATATTTTTACTTGTTTTGAGCTGTTTACAGACAATAACAGTTTTCAATTTTTTTTTCTATAATTATTAATTAAGTTTTATCTGTTGGGCCAAAATGTGTAAAAATTTAATACATGGCTCCTGATGTATTGTTACAATATCAGTTGAAAAATATTAAAAATACATTGGCACAATTTTTTTTATAAGCATTTAAAGATCGAGTTTTGACAAAATTTATCAAAATTAAAATTGAATAATTATTTTGTAGTTAAAAATGTATAAAATGTTCAACTTTTATATCTAAGAATTGAAAGTTCATAAAAAGATTCCACGTAAGTAGTTAATTATGTTACCAAAAATTCTAAAAAAATAAATAAGCACAGTTTATTTTTATAGTCATTTTAATTTCAATATACTAAATTGCATAATAAAAAACATAGAATAACTATTTTAGTTATTTTGTTGTGATTGAATAATATTATTCGTGGGTAATTGAAACTTCTAAAGTACACTATTTTTTATCTATGATAGTATCAGGGTTTGTTGTTGATGTATAATGTATTATAAGTACTTAATGGATATTGTGATATGATTAATTTGTAATTTATTATAGGTACCTATTATAGGTCAATTATTTTTAATGCTTTAGATAAGTATATAATATGTCTTATACCTAGACTGACATACCGTCATCGCTCAAAATTGTTTTTCTTATACAACGTTTTACTTGTCGATATATTGACCTGTTGACATTTTGTACTTGTTGATATAATGATCCGTCGACATTTTAACTTGTCGATATATTGACTGGCGACGTTTCAACCGGCTCCTAACAATTTTATGTTTAAATTTTATAAGAGGTGAAATTACTCTAATTTTTAAAATAACAGAGCTGCATGTGGTCTGCTGATAGTACATTTTGCTATGTTACGCAACTGTAAGACAAAGACATAAAAAAATGTCATTGTAACGTCGTCTTAATTTGTATTTTTTAAATAACTAAAAAAATATACATTGTTTTTAAAGATATTTAATTCAGTGACATAATTTATGAAACACTAATTTTATTTACATTTGTATTAGTTAGTTCTAAAATAACTGAACTCTAGTATCAAGTAAAGTATATTCCATTACATTGGTTGATTTTAATTCAATATTATTTAAAATGAATGCTACAAAATTGTGTACTTTTATAATTACTATAATAATATAACTTAAATTGCTGTAAAAACATAAATTTACATTTTTTTTAATAGTAACATGTTGGCAAATAATTTGAATAAAATGGGTGGTGCAGAAGGCAGAAGTAGTTAATCTGTTATTGTATTATATTACATACACCCTCTAAACTAAAGTCTAAAGTATGTTCACAATATTTATGGTATTGAGTAGAACAGTCTACATTACAATAGTTAATTTGATTTTAATAGTATATGTTTAAAATTCTAATTTCTAATGATATACTGTTGTAGTGTTCAGTACTTTTAAATAGTAAATTAACTTAATGTATAAAAAACATTAATTATTGATATAATTAATGTAAAAAAAATATACAATGAATAATATTTATTATAATGATAAACATAATATATCTATATATATATATACCTAAAATAGATATAGAAAAAACTTTTAATATTATAGCTTTATGTCTTAATCCGGGTGAACCACATTTTATATTTATTTACAAAATAAAAAATGTAAAACTAGAAAATGTCTGTAGAATATTTAATCAACCTGTAAAGAAAAAAAACACATATTTATTAGTACATTAGTAAATATATTATTATTTTCATATCCAACGAATCAAATAACAACATATTATTAAATATTTTATTTAATGATTAATACTAATGTGAAATATAGAAAACATTATCCAGTAATGGAAATATACATTATTATCATGTCAAAATTTATTATAAACAATTAAGTTTTAAGATATTTGAACAGAAGGTGTAAATAAATAAAACATTCCCTATTATTGAGTTCTTCTCTAATGTAATATTATTTAGTAAATTATATTATTTATAATAGGTAATATAAAATATAAATAATTAGGAACAATTTAAATACTTACTTGTATATTACAGTATTTTGTTAAAAAAACATATTTCACTTCAGCTATATGACACAAGATTCTTATTGTTAAATTTATTGAACATTGTAATCGCACTAAAAGTTGTTCTTCATTTAATAGCATAAATGCTACACCATCAACTTCCTAATATATTGATTGAAAAATTACAATCAATATAATTCAATGATAACTGTCTATAGGTATAATTCAATATTATTTACCTCTGTAAATAATTTCAGTCCAATATCTTTACAAAACAAATCATTTGTCAAATATTTATAAACGTCCTCAGAAGACCAATATTTTGGATTTGATGTGATCTTAATATGATCTAATTGTCCTATATCAATATTGGATTTCTTAAATCTTGAATTTTGACGATAATAGTTTTCAAAAGTTGTTTTCCTAGAAATATTCTTAAATTAATATTACTATGTTAAATATATTAAAAGTTAATAATAAACAATATACCAATCGTCAAAAACAATAAATTGTTTTTCTTCAATAGTTTCAACATTGGATTTAGTATTGCTGAACATTTTCATATTATCCAATCTCCTAAGATTATTTTTTTTGGATATAATTTCAGCTATAAGTGATGATTCCAGTTCAGTATGACTCTGGTTTAATCGAGTTACATGTGCATTTAAACTAGCTATAGTCCCCAAATAATTCTTATACCTTGCCACTAAAGGTTTATTTGACCAATCTAATACTTTTTCAGCTATTAATATTTTATAAAAAAAAACAATTCAAAATATTTATTTTATTTAATATTTAATATTGATTGTTTAAGTTAAAAATAAAAAAGTTATTTGCTTAAGATAAAACAATAAACTAATACTTACCAACTCTAGTAATTTGAGAAAATGTTACTTTAGGGCATACAATTTTATCACCATGAGATTCACACCTTTTTATTTTTGATTTTCTCATGGGCACAGTATCCATTTTAGGTTTTGACGGTGGTGCTATAAACATAATGGAATTTAAAATATTTTTAATTAAAAAAATATAACTATATAAATATAATATATGTTTATATCTGATAGATTTTTAATAACTCAAAGTTTATGAGGACACATAATAACATAATATAACAAATATACAACATAACATATGTGATCAGTAAAACCAATTTTATGATGTTAACTTTAATTTTAGAGTGAATTGACTTATTATTACATTTAAAGGTAAGAACGTTATCTGTGTATTTGGTTTTTATAAAGGTATTTTAATTTTTATGCAATTCATGAGTATGCGAGTATGGTTTCCCAATTTATTTTTTTACGTTTATAAATGCTCATAACTTGCTTATAAATCAAAATACCGTAATAAACAAAGTTCTAACCTTATAAAATAATTACCTTTTAGTTTATTTTGGACTTAAATATTAAAACCATCAACACAAAATCGGTTCTGCTGAACAAAACTAATTTTGTTAGACGTAATGCTATGTTACAAGCTATCCTGACCTCTTTAAAAAAAAAAAAGAAAAAAAGATAAATTGGTATTTAATAAAGATTGTTCCAAAGATAGAATACAATTCTTGAAAAGATGTTTAGTTAAATTAGTGAAGTTACAAATACTCTTACTAAAATATTAGTAATTTTTTTTGACAGTAATACAGTGATATTATTAAAACAATTGTTAGTTATTGGTTCACTAAAATCATGCACAATTTAAACTATAGAGAAATGTATTATTTTACTGTTATGTAATTTTCTAATAACTTTAACTTTTTTTATCAAGTGAGTTTGTTATTTGAAAAATCTATTAGTAACTATTATTAAATATCAATATCGATAATCTTTTAAATGCAAAACACACAATCACTATTCCAATAATATACACTGACTTTTATCTTCATAATTTAATCTACAACCATGACGACACATCTTGTCTTTAGTATTCATAAATAATTCACACATTCCAAATAGATTACAAAGAACTGAACAATATGTTGCAGCCATCTTCTTAGATTCAGGAAGAAGAAGAGATTCGGTGCAACTATAATGAGTTCTTGTCCCTCTTAAATAAAATAAGTAGATTTCATACAATTTATTTCTGTTTAATTATTATTATAATTATGTGATCATAAAATTAAATACTTACTTAGTGCTAACCCGCATTTCAACACCACCAGGTCCGTTGAATAACATTTTTTGAATTTTTTTTATTTTCTTCAATGCAATCCATGGAAACAAATTTAAATTAACAAATATGGTTATTGCTTCCTGTAAAATCAAGGAAGTTGGACCAGGACCAATACTCTTAGGTAAATTTGCTATTTTCTTTTTTACTGCATACCGACCATGATAACAATCTTTGTTAAAGTAAATACATATTTTAATGCTATTTTTAGTAAAAATGTTCAAAGAAATTTTATCCACTTTTTTTATTGTTTTTTTAACATCATTTATAAATTTTTTTTTTCTTCTATTTATCTCTTTTGCACTATTCATTTTTACTTGTACAGTATCCATTTTTTTTTTTTTAATATCAACTGCTTCATCAACAAATAATGCATCATGAAATTCTTCATCTAATTCAGGGTCATATTTGGCATACAAAATTGAATCGTTACCATTTTCAACATTACCCTCATCACTATCATTTTTAATCTCTTTTTTTAAAGTTAAAGCTAAATAATTATCACCATCATTTTTAATCTCTATTTCTGAAGTTAAACGGAAATCATCATCACTTTCATTTTTAATCTCTATTTTTGAAGTTAAAGGGAAATCATCATCACTTTCATTTTTAATCTTTATTTCTGAAGTTAAAGGGAAATCATCATCACTTTCATTTTTAATCTCTATTTCTGAGGTTAAAGGGAAATCATCATCACTTTCATTTTTAATCTTTATTTCTGAAGTTAAAGGGAAATCATCATCACTTTCATTTTTAATCTCTATTTCTGAAGTTAAAGGGAAATCATCATCACTTTCATTTTTAATTTCCATTTGTGAAGTTAAAGGTAAATCATCATCAAAATCTTCAGTTGTTATAACTTCTTCATTTTTTTCTTTAAAACCATCATCAAAACTTGGTTTGTCTCTAAAATACAGTTTAAATTAATATATTAATAGTAACGAGTAACTGCAACAATTAGAAAATAATAAACATAAACAACTTCTAAAAATTATACTTTTTGCTATAGTGATAAAAGATTTCTCCTTTTAAGTAATGAGGATATTTTGTTACATTTTCTTCGTCTGATTGACTTAAATTAATATCAATGTCTGATAAATCATAGCAATGTTCAAAATCATTAGAAACATTGTATGGGCGTTTTGGGACTCCCAAATTATATTTGTGTTTATTACACCAGCCAACTGGAAAAACTTCATCTGAACAAATTGAACGCAAATGTCGTAATTCTTGACAACTAAATTCATAAAATAAATAATTAATCAGTTTATTTCTACTAAATTTATATTTTACAAATGTATTACCAACTCGTTTGATCAAAAGACAAAAACATCCAATGGTCAGCAAATCCTATAACTGTAGCCACACGAATACAATCAGTATTCAAAGGATCAACAGCTTCTAATTTCATACCTATATGAACATTGTTTATATTTTTTCCGCATGAATTATGTACAGTAGCCAATTTTGCTTTCTTTTTTATCAAATATTTCAACCATGAAAATTCGTATGGTTCATTCCAATCAGTCGGAGTTTTTAGCAAAAATTTGTGTTTGCTTGCCCAACCTAAAATCATATTATAGTAAATATGTATAAAGGTAATTATTCATAAATTCATTAATCAAACCTGCATGAAATAAATGAGGATTGTCTTTTGTAGCCACAAAACTGATACGTTTGTCTACATCAATGTCATTATCCACTTCAACTTTAAAATAACGATTATCATAAATCTTAACAATTGTAGCAACATAAAATACCATCATTGAATAAGGATCTATTACTTCCAACATTTCTCCAACTTTATAACTGTGGTGTTCTGGGGTCTTAGACTAATCAAAGAAATATAAATCAAAAAATTATTGTAAAACAAATATGTTTTATATGACTATGACAGGAATGTGCTCTATACAGAACCGAATTTTAAAAGGCCTTTAAACAACTGATTCAGCAAAAACAATTTAAATTTGGCAACACTAGATAAAAAATCATAGTGTAAATCATTTTGAGGAAATTTATTTTTTAAATACAGGAAATATTATACTTATGAAGTATACCTCAGTGTTATATTTATAGCAAATTTAGTATTAAAAGTATTTAAAACTAGTAGTATTTTTATTAATATAAGGATAGTTAACTTAAATATTGGATACCTTTAACACATCCAGTAATGCACTAGAATCGATGGAATTTTCTAAACTAGCATCTGAATTCATTAATCTCCATGGAAGTCCTGAACATAAATAAAGCTCATTCTGTAAAAAGTAAGAACAATATATTTTAGTAAAATACCTTTTTGTTCTGCCCATCCTAATGGAAAAATCCGTTTATTTAAACAAAATAACCAAAATGGTTTCTTTTCAGAGCACTTTATTCCTTGCATTTGTAAAAATAATCTTCCTCCCACATTTTTAAGCACCTAAAAATAAATATATTATATTCAATTAATAAAAATAATAAAATACTCAATATTAACAATTTTTAGTTTTGTAATAAATACATTTAAGGCAGTAAAAAATATTAATATTGTATAATGTATTGTATTTTTGATGTCCAAACATTGTAAATATATTTAATGCAGAAAAAATATTAATATTATGAAATGTATTCTACTTTTGATATCCAAACCCAATAAGGGTATTCTTTATCTTGAACTTCTACAAACATGCCACACTTGAATATATTATGAATTGGAGCACCTCCCTGAAATATAAATACATGTGAGTTTAGAATTGACGTGTTTAAGGTTGTTTTGCACGTTAAACAGTTAAAAAAAATATAAATATATACCATTTGTAATACAGCATTTGATACAATCTGCTCACAATCTTGAGCTCTTTCTTTAATAACTTCTGGTTTGATATATGACAATCTCTCTGGATAAGGAGGTATACATTTTTTATTATTTTTACTTCCCCAGTTTAAAGAATGAATGCGTGGTGATTTTACGTTTACTGTTAACCCTAAGATGTTTTTTTCATCACCATAATAACGCAAACTAAAACAAAATATTGTTAATTAAGTATTTAATAAAATAAAAGTTTTTTTTACATACTGTAATATAGCGCCTTCAGATGAACATACACTTGCAAACCAGTATCCATTTTGATCTTCATTTTCAATCTCGATCACCGATCCAATTTCAATTCCATTCAGTTCACTTTTACAAATCTGTAAATTAAATTGTATTTTATTGGAATGTACTTTTGATTACAAATGTAACTTCTCTATTCTTACATATCATATAATAAAGTATGTTTATATGATGGAGTTAAATTTTTATATCCATGGCTACTTGTATTTTTACTGGCAAATAAAATAACTCAAACTATCTGTCTATCTGAAAGAAGCAAGTGTCCATGAATTTCAAACCGTTAAACTTCATCATTTAAACATACTAATATATTACTACTTACATGATGAAAAAAATCTTCAGGTACCACATCTGCATTTCTTGCAGCACGATATTTACCCCAATCAAATATTTTTTCTGAAAACAATTAATATTTAAATAATGCCTAGCACAAAAATAAATATAATATTTAAGTTATAGGTAAGTAAAAAAAATGATGAAAATATGGAAACTTTGTGTTAACAAAAATATGTTTTTAGGCTGGGTTCGTAAAGATACATTCTAACCAATTTTGAGTAACGCTTTGTTGCCAAAACAAATAAAATGTAAAAAACAGTGGCGTTTTCTCTGGGTGTGCAAGTTGTGTGTTAACGCCCTAAACATTGATGTCATACATGTGTGTAATATTGTAATTTGGAATTCATATTAGTATATTACATGGTTATATAATTGTATTTACAACATCTTAAAATAATTGTTGATAACAGATAGGATTAGATGGCAGAAAAGAATGTATTGTATAATATTATTATATTCAAAAGAGTAACATTAAGATATTATTATATTAGTATTAATTAAAATTAATTAGAATTAAGAATAGACTTTAAATTGTCGTTTACTTATTTACAGGTAAGAATTTGTATAACATATAGTAAAATCATATCATGATATTAATTGTTAATAAAATAAATGCACTTATTTACAGATCAACACAATTTGTCTATTTCTTATAAAGTTAATAGCTTATAAGTCACCACTTATATACCTATACTATAGTATTTATCACACCTCTGTAATTGTACAGTGCACGGGCCAACTGGTGGTTACTTATTAAAACATACTTATTCATCATCCACACATTTTCTTCAAAGTGGAAAATATTAAGTAGTGTGGTAAGTTTATATTACACAATCACCACTTTATATAAAACATCAATTTTTTCTTATAGGTATTATACATATTATATAGAACATAATGCAATGTAAAATTATGTTATTTTGATGATCAGATATACACACATTGGAAAATAGAAAGTAAGGATGAAATTATCTACTGTTTATTTTGATTTTTTGGTCAATGCAATTGAATACTGCTACAGTAAAGTAGCTAAAAATGCACGTATTAATTTTGTTTCAAGTCCTCATAACGGGGTTGAACCGTATAAATATTGAATACGTAAAACTTGTAATTTGATGGCGAAATTGTATATATATATGTCCAAAAGTGCCCACTATTAAAACACAATAATAGTAGGTAGGTACCTACCTACAGTAAATCATCATTTAAAGACAATGCATGGTGAACTAAACTTACCCTCAAGAAAATCGTCGCTTAAACTTGACTGATCCTCAGGTTTAGACAAACTCATGATATTGTTATGAGTGGACAATGTACAAGATAAAATAAAACACAAATCTCACGTGTTTGCGTAGGTAGGTACGAACAATAATGGATATCTAGGTACGCACAAAACTACGGTACGTTGCACAACAACACGATAGATACGACGATTAAGATCATTTTTATTCAAAGTGTTTCACGTTCGTACACGGAAACGCTAAAACGACGTTCAAACAAAAATAATAATTCCATCTCGGCGTCGTACCAATTGGCAAAACAAATCAACACCAGGAGCGCTGTCGACGCACATCGTTCCGATGGTTTGGCGGGTTCCCCTTACGCAGAGTCGGGGATTGTATTTATTTTCCCGTCATTTGGCATACATTTTGTTTCGAGTGAGGGGTATTTAAATGTACTCGATAATATTAGTAGAAATTGTACCTACCTACCTATATACAGTTAGCTATAAAAGCGTATAGGTTTACGGTAGCAAAATTAATTCATTACAAAAAGTAAAATGACCAAAATATTAAATTAATCATATCCAAACAATCCTAATCGGAAGGCACAAATATCGTTTCCACCAGAGCGCGTATCGTTAGCTCGTTTTACCAATATTGCGTTTGAGTCGACCGTTTGGACAGCCCCGGAGCGCTGAGCTTTTTTTGCTCCCCGCTCTCTCCGTAATAATTAAAACGTATCGCTGCGAAACGTTTCGCATCGCGCGCATCGGTACACCGTGTCCAACTCGAACGTGTAAACAATTTGACGCACATGACAAGACGTGACGGCCGACGGTTCACGGCATTATTATTATTATTATTAGTATATTATTTATTAAATGCTTGCCACTTGCGATGTGCGTACGTGTGCGTCAAACGGTGCATAATATTTTACAGTTGTTTGATATTCGACGTGTTTTTTAAAAAACAAAACAAAATAATGTTATTTCATATAGGTAATATTTCTAATAAATTACATATCTATAGGTACCTATGCATACTCGTATGTATATTGTATTTACTACATACTTTTAATAATACACAATGAATACCTATACATATTTAAATATATTTTTAATATTAATTAAATAATCAAAAAAGTGGGTAAGTACTAAGTACATGTTGTATATTATACTACTGTACAACAGAGGGACAATTTAGTAAACAATTTGACGCACATGACAAGTGACGGCCGACGGTTCACAGCATTATTATATGCTCGCCGCCAGTGGCGGCTCGTGCCTAGGTGTGCAGGTGTGCGAACATCACATAGATTAATTAGATATAATAGTGAAAATGTATAATAATAAATTAATTTTAATACAATATCTGTCAAACTGTATTAATTATATAAAAAAATTAAATTTTAAAAACAAACAAACGACAATTATTATTATACCTACTACTAAAATGTAATCGAGCTATGCAACAGATGCAACTCATCAACTGGTGTGCAGCTCAGTCTGAACACCGTTTGTCCGTGTAAAATACGTTTGGTTGTCGAGTGGGGGAATCGGCAATTATATGTGACTTTGGTGTACAGCTCGGGCGGTCGCACGCGATAAACATACACACAGAGAAAGATATTAACGCAGCACATGCCGCTCTGCACTGGCTTTAATTTGTAAACTCCACCGTTTTTCTATTTTAATATTATTAGTTATGACATGTTGTCTGTTGTCACAATAAATAAATATGCTATACCTAACTAATATGTAATATTATTTTCTAAAACTGTATAATCTCAAAATTAAAAATGCTAATAAATATTTTACTAATTACATTTATACTTAAAACAGACAAATTTTTTTTAAAATAAACTTTTGCAATATTGCACACCACCTACTTTGAACACCACCAGCCGCCACTGCTTGCCTCTTGCGACGTGCATACGTGTGCGTCAAACGGCGCATAATATTTTACTGTTTGAATGTTTGATATTCGACGAGTTTTTTAAAAAACAAAATAATGTTATTTCATATAATATTTCTAATAAATTACATAGGTACGCATACTCGTATATTGTATTTACTACATACTTTTAATAATACACAATGAATACCTATATATAATATATTTTTAATATTAATTAAATAAACAAAAATGTGGGTAAGTGCATGTCACTCTGTTGTACAGTAGGTTATAAGTGAGCCACTGTATAATGGATGGTATTAAATTTGAATCCAATGATATATAATATCATTGTATACTGTAGTGACCAAATTGGTTACTACGAGTAACAACTTAAACACAAGTAGATATTGTATATAATAGTTTTATTTACGCAGTATTTAAACACATACTTTTAATATGAATAATACGACTATTTAACTAAGTATAATTATGTAAAAGAGTCATAAGAGTGCTACCGTTAATCCTTGTTACAAAGTCATTAACTTATGAGCTTCAGCTTGTAGCTGTTGTAGAACTACCTAACTAACAGATCAGACCTCCCTTTTATATCCAAAGGTGGTGTGATGTGCTGATGTGCAAAATTAGCATTATGGTGTTATTTATATAATAACAATATGTTAATTGCAATGGTCAGCATCACTCGAGAGACTCATAGTTGAGCTGATCATTACAATACGAAAAACGATTCTGAGCTGTGACGGTTGTCGATTTGCCAGTGTGGATATTTTATATTATATTTATTTTGTTATTAGGTACCTACCTAGGTACTAATTATTAATGCGGTACCCGGTGCCCGGTAACTTGAATTAATATTAATAAAATTACCAGAAAATAACTAAAACCGTTATTCTTGGTTATCTAATATATTATAATTTTCTCCAAAATTTGAACATAAAATAACTATAAAAAATTTGAGATTTTTTGGTTACACACAATACCTAACCTACTTACGTGGAACCTTGTTGTAAGTTTTCATTCCTTAGCTATTATGAGTGAAACATTTTATAAATTTTTAACTACAAAACTATTTTTAAATTTTAAATTTGATAAACGTTGTCAAAAATCGAATTTAAATGTTTATACAAAATTGTGCATGTGTATTTTTAATATCCAATCTTGTAAAAATTTGTTGTAAACATATAGAACATTTTTCGTTGATAAAGGTAGATATCATTATAATTTATAAGGAATCTTTTATTAGGTACCTACATTTTAAAATCTTAGATTTATATTTACAGGTTGAACCATAAATAACTATTATATTTTTGTTATTTTTTTGTAATGTTAAAAATATTAAACGGGAGTACCTATATACAATTTATAGAGTATATTATTATATTTTATACATACAATGACATTTTCAAATGTAATTTTTTTTGTAAAATTAATTTAACCTACTGTTGTTGGTATTAATGCCTATTAGTAAAATAAATTACTTTAATCATAATATAATATCAAAAAATATACCTACCTACTTAGTAATATAATAGGCTGACAGACTGCCTTTGTTCAGAATCGTTTTTTATTTATATATCGATTTTTCATATTTATTTTTTATCGATTTTTTAACGGTAAAACGGCAAAAACTGGGCACCGGCCCATCAGGCCGTTTTTAAGATCAGACAGGGGCAAATGCCCACCTTGTCCCCCCTAACTGAAGGTAAGGGGCGTGGGTGTTCCAACCCCTACAGGAATTTACCAATAATAAAATTTGCTACATATTTTCCTCAAGGATCAGTACTACTAAAATTTGTATTTTGTATTTTAAGTAAAGGTATGTTTGAAGAAATTAATGTATTACAAAGTTCTTTTAAAAATTGTGATTGATTTTCTATGGATGTTGGTGATTCATAAACAAAAGTTTGTTTAGAAAAAGGTTTATTCAAACCAGAATTTGATAAATTTGAAATTTTTTTTTCTGCTGTTACTTGTTTTTGACAATGCTGACAGTAAACTGATTGTACTTATTTAAAATGTTGAAAACCTCACCAGAAATATTGTATGGTTCAATCCATTTTCTAATTGATACCAGTTTGGAATTTTGGGCATTTTCACGGTTTATTAATTAATTTGTAAATTACAAAATAATTTTAAGCGAAAAAACACGTACCTACATTCAACACTCGCTTAGCTACAACGTAATTCTTACTAACAATAATTGTCTTGTATAAATGTAGAAGTTCTCGTAATAATGTAGCTAGTTATAAAGTATTTCAAAAATATGAATTACTTTTTACCAATTTTTAATTGTTCATATTATTTATAACTTATAAGATTCATACTTATAAAGACTGCATGGTTTAAAAACAATAATTGTAATGTGAAGTCCAACCAAAAAAAATAGCACAAACGTTATTTTGAATAACGTACATTTGCGATAACTCTATGTTACATTTATTGTTTATTTTTAATCATTCATTATGATTGGGGCAGAGGACTTGTAGCATTTGCATATTTTTTTTGCACAGTCACAAAAATAGTAGAGTGTAAATACGTAAATACGTTCCATGCTTCCACAAAGCTAGTTTTAAAAATGTATTGTGCATATAAATGCATATTTTGCATTTTTTTGGTTTTAAGGGCATATTTCTTTCATTTTATATTTTTAGATGCATATTTTAAATAATTTATCATTTTATCAATATTTTTAGCCGACGTTTTTATTTATTTATTTTTACAACCAAAATAACGTTGAATTTAAAATTATTTTAAATTTTGAAATGCATATTCATAATACATATATTTTATATTTATGTGCATATTTGGTGATTTTTTAGAGCTACAAGTCCTCTGCCCTAAATTTATGATTAATGATATTTTCGATTATTTTCGTTTTTTGTTTATTGATTACATTTATTTTTTTTTATTATTTTCCGTTATAATATAATGTTTTGAAGCTCTGGTATTTTGAATATTTTATCAGTATCGAAAAGTTGTGAAAATGTCAAGTTATTTCATTTTTGAATTAAAACTAAATAAAAAAAATCATTTGATGAGAATTAGTTAATTTACAGCTGAAAAACGAATGTCAAAAAAATTTAAACTTTAAACTCGCATGAAAATTAGTTCGACTTTTCGGTAATCTTTTTATTATTTTTAAAGTCTTAAAAGT